ACCCCTGGTAGGGTGCCAAGCGATGGTACCGCTAGTCTAGGCAGTGGTACCGCCTAGCAATGCGCCTCAAGCAATGGTACCGCCAGACCTGGGCGGTGGTACCACCCAGGGCAATGTTAGCGTCAGATTGACACTAGGCGGTGGTATCACCCGTGCCCGGGGAACCCGGGATGGGAAAGTTTTAGGCTCCAAGTTTGAATCAACTTGAAGCCTATAAATACCCCTCTCATCCCTAGTTAAAGCATACAAGCACAGAGAGTTTGAAAGTAGAAAAACGCTACTGTAATCTCTTTAGAATCCTCTTCTTTGAGTCTAAGTGTTGGAATAGTTTGAGAGGAGTGAGTGCTTGTAAGGGTTGTCTCCTAAACTTGGGAAAAGAAGAAAAGGGGTGTAAAAAGGTGATTGGCCTTCGCCTATTGAAGGAAGGCTTCTAGTGGACATCGGTGACCTCGTCGGAGGAGGAAGTCAAAAGTGGATGTAAGTCAAGATTGACCGAACCACGCTAAATCTCGATTTACATTTACTTTCTGCTATTTATCTTAACTGCAAACTACCTCCAGTGCTTTACATCAACTACACTTCCGTATACTTTCAATTTAAGTTAAGTTTTTGAAAACGATTTTACATCGGAAACGGTTCTATCGTACGAAAGTTTTTAAACCGTCGTGATTTTATCGCTGCATGAATTCACCCCACCCCCCCCCCCTCTTAGTGCCGACCTCTGATCCTAACACATTATACATATTGTTTTTAACGAACTTAATATTAGGAATACCTCTTACAAGTTATTTAGATGAGATTTGAGAGATTGGTTTTATGCTAGCATGACCTAATCTCCTATGCCAATGCCAAGCATCGTCATTCAAAATCGAAAAACATATTTCATTATAAAGATCATTAATGTCGATAGTATATAAATTATTTTATTTTAGGGCAATCATAGATGTGTTTTTGTGTGATTTTTTAATAATGCAAACGTTGGATTCAAATCTAATGATGTATTCTTTATTACACAATTGACTAATGCTTAAAAGATTATGCTTTAAGCCATCAACCAATAATACATCTTCAATCAAAAAGGTGGATTTGTTACTTATGGTTCCTTTGCCAATGATTTTACCCTTATTGTTGTCTCCCAAGATGACATACCCTTTGTGTATGCTAGTGAGCTTAAAGAATTGAGATGGATCTCCGGCCATATGCCTTGAGTATCCACTATCAAGGTACCATCTTTTGCTCCTAACTTGTGATGGTAAATATTTCTACAAAAAAGGGTGATTTTTAGGTACCCATTTGACTTTAAGTGCCTCAAAAATCGATTGACTTAACTTATCATTTTGCATGAAGTTCTTTACGGTTCCTTTAGGAACCCAAATCAATTTGTGTATACTATATCTTTTAAATGGACATTGATAAGTAATATATCTAAATTTGTAACAAAATTTATATTTATTTCGGGGTGAAACATGTAAAGTTGTGCCTTTAACAAAGATGGTTTGATTCTTATGAGTGTTACTTACAAAGCCGATTCTATCTCTTCTATGAACATGATTCTTATTTGCAAGAATCATGTTTAGGGATTTGCTACCTATTTCAAATTTTTCTAAAGTTCTATGTAATTACAACCTATCATCATGCTCAATTTTTAATTTATCAAAATCACTAACAAGAGAAGTATGCTCTTTTTTCAACAATTTATATTTTTTACTAACTAATTTACATTCATCAAATAAATTATGAAAAGCACTTAATAATTCATCAAAAGATAAATTTGCATTTAATGAACTACTTACCTCATCTCTGATAGCCATTAGTGCGTAATGAGCAACTTGCTCTATGTTGGTTAGCTCTTCTTTGGATGCACTTGAGTCATCCCAAGTTGCTTTAAGAGTCTTCTTCTTCTTTGGTTACTTCTTTTTTGCTTAGGGACATTTGCTTTTGAAATATCTCGGCTTCTTACATTCATAGTATATAACTTGTTCTTTCTTGAGTTTAATTTTATTTTTAGTATCATTTTTAAATTTATTCCTTTTTATAAATATTTTGAACTTTCTTGTCAAGAGTGCTAAGTCATCATCATAGTCCTCATCACTTGAATTTTCTTTCAAGTGGTCTTCATGAGTTCTTAGTGTCATATCCGTCTTGTTCTTTGGAAGGTTGTTCTCAAGCTCTTCATTAGCACTATAAGTTATCTCATAGATCATTAGTGACCCGATAAGTTCTTCAAGAGGAAATTTATTTAAATCCTTGGCCTCTTGAATGACCATTACTTTAGGGTCCCAACTCTTTGGAATGGATCTCAAGATTTTATTAACAAGTTTAAAGTTCAAAAAATATTTGCCAAGAGCTTTTAAACTATTAACGACATTTGTACAATGGGTGTACATGTCGACAATAGTTTCACTTGGTTTCATCCAAAATAATTCATAAGTGTGAACTAAAAGATTTATATTTGATTCCTTTACTCTACTAGTACCTTCGTGAGTGATTTCAAGTGCGTGCCAAATATCAAAAGCTATTTCACAAATAGATACTCGATTGAACTCGTTTTTATCTAAAGCATAAAATAAGGCATTCATAGCCTTGGCATTTAAAGCAAAAGTCTTCTTCTCCAACTCATTCCAATTATTTATTGGAAGAGAAAGACTTTTGAAAGCCATTTTTCACAAGGTTCCATAACTCAAAATCCATTAAAATTGGAATGAACCTCATTCTAGTATTCTAATATGTGTAATCCGTCTGATTGAACATGGGTGGACATGTAATTGAGTGACCCTCTTAATTAAGCAAAAGCCACCTCTCTTGGGTTTTAAACTAAATCGAGAGTAACCAAGCTTTGATACAAATTGTTAGGATCGAGTCGGTACTAAGAAGGGGGGAGTGAATTAGTGCAGTAAAAAAAGCATCGGTTTTAGAAAAACTTCATACGTTAAATAAAAAACCGATGTTGAAAGATAGCTTGAAGGCATGTTTATTCGTAAAGCATAGTGAAAGCCAAATAAGGATGAAGTGAAGTAATTGCAAGATAAGAAAATGACAATAATAAAAATGTAAACCAGAATTTATAGTGGTTCGGTCGTTGTGACCTACATCCACTTTCGATTTCTCCTCCGTCGAGGTCACTAGCATCCACTAATGGTCTTCCTTTAATAGTCGAAGACCAACCACCTCTTTATAGCGCTTTCGCCTTTTCACAAGTTTAGGAGATAATCCTTACAAGCTTCACACCTTTCTTGAATGATTACAAGAGAGGGAAGAAGATGACTCTTCTCACTTTTATAATACTTTTAACACCCAAATACTTAGAAGTTTTCAATAATTTGATTAAACTTTTGTTATTTTTTCATACCGAAAAGGGTGGAGTATTTATAAGCCCTAATGACTTTAGAATTGGAGCTAAAAAGTATCACATTCTCGGATTTCAAGGTACTAACAGTACCACCACCATTACTGGGTGGTACTACCGCTTGCAGACTAACACTAGACGGTACCATCGCCTAGTCTAAGCGGTACAACTGCTTGACAGAGCTCGGAGATCAAGCTCTGACGGTATCACCGCCTGATAGGGGAGGTACCACCACTAGCAGCATTAACTATCGACGGTACCACTACCTAGTTTAGGCAGTACCATTGCCCAGACCACCTAGGAGACTAGGTCACTAGGCGGTGACATTGTCGACCTTGACTTCAGGTGTTGAATGGGCTATTAAAAGCTTAGTTGTCCCCTAATTGAGTTAGTGAGATTAACTCTGAATCCTAACTCAACTTGCTCTAACTATGATAATATAAGATATTAACTAATCAATCTTTGTCCGGTATATCAATTGTTCTCTCGACGAACTTCCGGCGAACTTCTCGATGAACTTCTAGCGAACTTCCGACGAACTCTCGACGAACTCTCAGTGAACTCTCGACGAACTCTTAGCGATCTTCCGATAAATTCTCGACTAGCTCCCGACGAACTCTCGGTGAGCTTCCGACAAACTTCCAATCCATCATTCGAATCTTCGACATATCGTCCGATCTTTGACTCCGGGCCAACATATACTTTATGCCTTACTGTTATCGTAGTTAATTCTATACATTTATCTCAATATATAGATTAGATCAAACATTTTACCAATTGATTTCATCATCAAAATTCAAGATTCAACACCTCTTAGTTCCGACTTAGATTATTAAATCAATAAAGTTAGATTAACGAATCAATTGGTTGAATCAAGAGTTTATTCTTTTTAAAGTTAATTATATAATATATTTTAAATTTAAAAATATATCTTAATAATTATATACTATACACTTCTCTTTCAACCTTATAATAAAGAAAAAATTAACTGCCTTAAGGAAAGATATATGGTTGATAATTTTATAATATTTTTAAGATTCAAACCGTCTAATTTATAAATTAAGCCCGTCAAGATCCACTTTCTCATTTCTTTTATTCAATTGATCCCGAATTGTATAACTACCTTGCTCTTTCATACGCTAATAATAAAAATAACTGTTAACTTTCTAGTTAATGAGAGTTGATCGATAATCATATTGTAATTGACATAGTCTATTAGCATAACTTAGAAAGGATGGAGCTAAGATTATATTGTTGATAAAATTATCCTGATTTGCTTTTCGAGGGAATAAGAATACTGATGAAATCATGTCTATCTTTATATCTATCTTTATATTATCTTAAAGGAAGTTAAAATTTTTTAATATTTATCATCATTGTTGATTACAATGTATTTTGAGATCAAACAAACAATACCTTAAGAAACACGAACGATCTAAACATCTTTTGACCGTATTCCCAGTCCTTTGGGAACGCCTCTGCAAACCGTATTCCCAGTCAAGCCGACTGATACATGCAGACAAAATGGAAAAGGACAAAGCTACTCGTTGGCACACTTCTCACGCCAAAGAACGCCCGCCTCGTGTTTCACTTTGGCGCTTCCTGTGAACCTTGCGTGCACGGCTGGACTTCTCGAGTAAGCTGCCTCCTTTTATCTTTGTGAACCCATTCTTCCCTGTACGTATACTTCACCGCCTCCTTCCAGTTCTTGTTGCGCCGTGATAGAGAGGGAAGAGAAAGGAAAATTGAAGGTGGGGATTTGGAGTCGCATCTACCCTGATTCTTGCAATTCTCTTTTTCTTTTCGACCTTTTTCTTCCCTTTCCGTCCGACTGAAGAGAAATCCTACTGCTGTAGAACTTCTTTCTGTTGAATTCTTGAATTTTCTTTTCTCCGTCTCCTTTCTGTGCTCTCATCTCATCTTCTTGATGGAATCCTTTTCTATAAACCGTCCTTCTCTTTCCCTTGAACCAACAAATTGAACCCCTCCCTTATCTCTTTTGGTATAGGATTTGTAATTTCTTGTGCTGATTGATACAGCAATAGGATTCTCGCAGGGTTTTCCGGTGATGGAGTTGGTTCCCTTGAGCCGCTCTTCCATATTTGCCCCCCCTATCAACAGACTCCAGCGGAGAAACAACCTCAAGTGGAAGCAGTCTAAGCCTTCGGTTTCCAGAAAAGCTGGAATTGCTTGTGCTGGGGCGAAACCCCCTAGGAATTCAGGGGTTTCTTCTCAAGAAAGCAAGAGGATCGAGAACTTGTATCAAAAGGAAGGGCGTAGATTGTTGCGTCTGCTTGAAGGGCTTCGAAGCCGTGCCTCTCCGGAGGTGTGCGGTGAGCATCATAAATATTTTGCCATCAATGGAGATGTGGGTCTCGCTAGTATCCCCAAGAAAGTGGATGAAGTTGCAAAGGTCATCATTCCTGGTTTATCTGATGACTCCGGTGGCTCTCCGATCAGTAGTTGCTACTGGGAGTGGAAACCTAAAATTTCGGTGCACTATGAGAAGTCAGGGTCTCAGAATGTGGATGCGCCTGCTGTGCTCTTCCTACCTGGGTTTGGAGTTGGCTCATTTCACTATGAGAAGCAATTGGAAGATTTGGGCCGTGATTACAAAGTGTGGGCTCTGGATTTCTTAGGACAAGGCAAGTCATTGCCATCCGAAGACCCGGCCCCCGTTGATAATCGTGAAGGGGATTCTGAAGATAATGATGTGTTATGGGGGTTCGGAGAAGAACCTAAACCCTGGGCAAGGGAGCTGGTGTACTCTATTGACCTATGGCGAGAACAGGTTCAGCATTTTGTAGAACAGGTCTACTTTCTGAACTCATCTTTTATATCTTGCGCATAGCCAGGTCACATTTGCTAATGTAGACTAATGAATAATTCCTGCAATCTGCTGAAAGCCAAAAACCATCCATGAACACAGTAAATTGGGTGAGCAGAAGACAGCAGCACTACTTGAATTACTTTATCCCTGGTGGTGGGTTACCTTAACTTGTTTTTCTAGGTTAAAGTGCATTCACCTTATTAAATTGACCTGACTAGTTATATAATGTTGATACTTCTTAAATTGCTAAACCATTAATGAAAGGCAGCTTGGGGTCTCTGAGTAACATATCCTTGCTTTAATTTAGTTGTGAAAGTGCTCTTCATTTATTCTTACCAGATTTATGACACCTTTTTTTTCATTTTTTATCTCACTTTTACTCTTCTGAACTGGTTTGTTGTTGTTATTGTTGTTGTTGTTGTTGTTGTTGTGCACCTTGGTATTTCTTTGCATTCAGTGAATTGACAATTTATGGCACTAAGACTTGATAAGAAGATTATATTTTGACCTCTGATATTTCAAAATGGAGTAGTTGACAAGGTAATGTTAAACTCATGTAGTGACACAATTATACATGCAACTTTCCAGCCAAAAGATTTTGGTTTGCTATCACTTGACTAAACAACTTAGCAAGCCCGAGTTTAATTTCATGTATCTTACCAAAAGTTATGGGCTAAACTGGTTAACAATGAGCCAATATGAGTGGACTATGTCCCATTAATTGGTCGAGAAAAGTAACAAATTAGTTGATAAGTGATGGTTAGCATGCCACATGCATGTGCTGTTGCTTATTCAGTAGTAGTTGATGCCAGAGCATCATAAAATCCCCTTTATGTAGGTAATAAATTTCTGTGACTCAAGTCTTTGGACGATGGTTAACATGCCACATGCATATTTATTGGAACTCTTGCTTAATGAGTTGATTTATGCAAGGGTACAGTAGCATACCTCTGGCATAGGTAAATGATCGCTAGTTATACTCTATAGTCTATACCTATTGCTAGATAGAGTGAGGGACAAAGGAGCGATATCAGATGATACTCGACATTATATGAACATGCTTATTGAAATTTTATTATCATTATATACATCAATGGAGACTTCTTTGCAATTCTTATTGTTGATTTTTTGTATTTCTCTTTACAGGTAATTGGTGAACCAGTTTATGTTGTTGGTAATTCTCTTGGAGGCTTTGTTGCCTTGTACTTTGCAGCATGCAATCCTCAGCTAGTAAGAGGAGTTACATTGCTTAATGCGACACCGTTTTGGGGATTCCTTCCTAACCCTGTCAGATCACCTAGATTGTCCAAATTTCTTTCATGGTCTGGGACGTTTCCCCTACCTTCAAATGTGAGAAGGCTAACTCAGTTGGTGTATGTCCTTCAAAACTCTTGAGACTTATATTATCAATTATCTCATAACATCAATGCATTAGGAGTTTCATTTCCAATCAACATAACTAGGCTTTGTAGTTACCATAGTAGTTGCTATTCCCACAATAGATGTTAAGAGATTTGATATAAAGTTGGTAAGGTTTTATAGTGAGTTTTTTATAATTTTTCACGAACTATCATGATCGGTTGTCGCGCACCCACAACATCTTCGCTCAATGAACCGTTCGTCGATTTTACATGCTTGTGCAGATGCTTGGCAGCATGTTTTGCCTTGGTTTTGTATGTTTTTGCTTGAAAAATATAAGCAAGAATAGTTCGCAGCGTTGTAGTGCGATCGCTATGCCGGGCAAAACTGCCCCAAAATGGCTTCGTTTTCATATGCCACGACCTATTTTCTAGAGGCCATAGCATGGCGCGAAACGTCAGCCATCTCAGACCTTTGGAACCCCTCGGATGGCACAGGGGTGGATGGGGCTTCGGGGAACTGTTGGGCATTGATCGGTTTACATAAGTTCACACGTTAACTTGACGGGAACTTGTCATCGCGCCCGACATCCGGTGAGCAATCGTTTGCAGACTTGTGACTGTTCATTTTGCCTTCTAAAGTCTTTGTTTTCTCCTTCATCTCTTTTCTCTCTTGGAGACGTCGAGACTTGTCCGTTGCTTACTTTTGAACTAATTAATTTGCTCTTTTTACAAGTCCCACGGGACTTGAGTGAGGTTGTAAATAAGCTGACCCTTTGTTGAGGCATATCGCAAGAGCACTTTATGACTGAGGCAATCCCAGCTAAATATGAGAAGTGGCCCAAGGGTGCTTCACGACTTAGACAACTCTAGCTAAGTCCGTGATTTTGCCGCAAGAGTACCACATGACTTATGCAATTTCAACTAAGTCTGACAGAACGGCTCACTTAAAAGTTAAAAGCAAGTGAAAAATTTTCCCTCTATCATTATGTATTGAAGTTTGATTCTGTCACAAGTTTCAAACTTATTTTCTAAGAATGGGGTAAGATTAGGGCACATCAATTATATGTAATTCTACTGGACTATAATATTCATTTGATTGTTTGATGTCAGGACAGTAGCAAAACAAATTTTAGTTGCAAAACACAATTTAAGTGTCACTAGTCCGGGATATTAGAGACCTAGTTTATCTTGAAAGTAATGTGATTATATGACTAATTTTTCATTTTATGGGTATTGAAATATGTTGCAGTTCCAATTTCTACTCTTTTCTTATTTGAGTTTTTAGAATCAGCTCTCACACAATCAAAATTTATGACCAGATGGGAGAAGATCAGTGACCCCAGTAGCATACAGGAAGTACTAAAACAAGTCTATGCTGATCATTCAATAAATGTTGACAAAGTATTTTCCCATATAATTGAAATAACACAACATCCTGCAGCCGCTGCTTCTTTTGCCTCCATTATGTTTGCTCCTAGGGGGCAGTTATCCTTCCAGGAAGCCTTGTCCAGGTATTACCAGTGCCAACATAACCGAGCTGCTATGCCTGCTTTTGATTCGAGGAGTTCTTTATTATACTTATTCCCTAATCTTTTATCTAGGTGCCAAGTGGAAGGTGTTCCAATCTGTCTTATGTACGGTAGAGAAGACCCTTGGGTTAGGCCTATTTGGGGCTTTCAAGTGAAACGACAGTTGCCTGAGGTACCTTATTACGAGATTAGTCCAGCAGGTCACTGCCCACATGATGAGGTTCCCGAGGTATGTCTCACTTGAATTTTTTTTTTCCTATCATGGGATTTTAACATTTTATTAATTTTGTTTTGATAGATGTACATGATGTTGTATGTTTGCATTAACAAGTTGATTTTATTTCCTTAAAAGCCATGTTTTAATCCTGAATTACATTTCTGCAAACTACAATGTGCTCTATGGTTTAGTTAATACATGTCATTGAATTTGATAACAAATATCGAAGTTGTCATGGAACTAATGTACTTGTTGGAATTTCCATTGTGAAGATGAGTTCGGTAATTTAACTTGTGTTTTCTCTTTGCAAATTTGTTCTGGTGTAAACCTAGAAAAAAAATATTTATTATTGATAAATATTTTTAATAAATATCTTTGCCACTCTTTAGTTACCTTTAATATTGATAAAACTGGATAATTTGTGAAAAAGGTATATCATGATGCCTTGCAAATGGATTTACTTAAGCTAGTGTTTCATTCAAAGAAAAGCAAATGGTCTCAAAATATATAATGAGTTTAATAGGGTATTCCAACACATGAGGTTTCTGTTAATGTAGGGGTCAATGCTCGTTGTCTTACTATTTCAGTTTAATAGTTTATCGTGGTTCCAGCGCTTGTGCTCTATGTAACAGGTTTTCTGGTGTGAAAACTATGTATGAGGTTTTGAACTGTTCTAATTCAAGACCCAATTGGTTGGAAGTAAAATTCAAGTGTTATAATGTATATGATTGATAAGTAACATGGTCTAGAATTTGTGACGATATGACTATGAAAGCATGGAAGTAGAAGTTTTTGTCAAAAGAAATAATTTGAAAAAAAAGAGTGAAAAGAAGAATGAGAATTATAGGAAAAAGGAACACTTTGACATTAAGACTTCATGTCATGATATTTAAGCCTTGTGCATTAAGCAAAGAAATTTCTAGAAATGGTCATCCGTTCTTTGAGTTTATTGTTGTTAGTTACTCTAATAATGGTGAACGAGGGTGGTCGGCGACAGATGACAGAAGGTAGGGGGTGGGCCTGCAGTGTGCCAAGTGGTTCTCGAGGAGTCATACATTTGCAACCTATTAGAAGAAGCAGTTAGAAACCCTAAAGACAGTTTTTTTAAATAGAAATCAGACTGGACCGTCGAAAAGGGGCGGTCCACATTTTAGTTAATTCTTGGACCAGTAAGGACCAATTGGTATGAACCGGTCTGGATGGTTTTGTATTCCTTGGTTACAACCACAATCAGAACCTGGGTTAGCTCAGCCATATATTAAATCTTTGGGCAATCAGCAGAATCCAAAATGGACACTGGGACATCTTTGTATACCCATATTTGCTTTCAAAAGCCCTAGATTAAATTGGATCATTAGTTTCAGCCTAAGAAAGTCCTTTCTTGTCCACTATTACAGGCATCCAGCATGTATGGATACTGGTGCCATCCAACATGTATGGGTACCAGTCTATCTTGCTGAAGACTCATTACTCAATTAGGAGATGAAGTATTGGCAGATTATGTAAATGTAGTCTCATTCTAAGTTGGAACATGAGTGGAAAAAGACCTTTTTAAACCTCTTATAACCAAGTTAGTAAAGAAGACTGATCAAGCCTCCTCACAAACTCTGGTAAGTCTAGATTCCTTCAGTAAATTTTGTATTTGCATCACTAAATATAGTAGCTGTATAGATTCTTTATAGGTGAATGTTTAGTCATATTAGAGCCTAACATTTAATAGTATGGTTGTAGCATAGGTTAGAAAAGTTGTGTAACTATTAGATCTCTAGATGCCTCTCTCACGATAGGATCTATAGATGCCTCTCTTATGATAGGATTTTGCATCCTGATGACTTTAAATTTCTCCAACAACTATGTACCTGAGAGGATTACAGTACTGTAACTTGAGGTATCACTGTGCCTTGTTTTCTTTCTTGCATTCATTGAAATAGATTAGATTAGTAAATCTTTTGCTCTTCCTCGTTCTTTGCTAGAGGCAAATAGAAGTAGCTCTCAGGAAGCGAAGACCATCTCATCAGTTGCTTTGGGTCTCTACAACCAGTTAAATAAGAATCTCGTTTCTTATAGATTTTCCAAACTCAGATTATCCGGCATAAGTGATGTGAGAAATAAAAAGGTTCTTATCTTGGATTTGGCTCATGATTTTAATGTTTTGCATCAGGTTGACCATCAGTGGCATTTGTCATAATTCTATTTCTTCCATGGACCCTACTTGGCTATCATATTTGCTGTATGGCTGAACCTATATTGACGCATAAACATATGTTAACACCAATTGTCTGGATTAAGCTTGTTGCTTCACTTTCTGTAATGTGAACTGTCAACTGAAGAATGTAGATTTGTGCAGGTTTTATAGGAGTGTAATCTTAAGTTGAAATATTATCGCTGTACTTCCAATATCCAGGGTGCTCATAAGGAAGAAATATCTTCCTTCTGAATTGCAAACAATTATCGAAATATCTTAAAGTAAATCATCCCAAATTAGTTTCAGTAATAGGAAAAGATAGTCTAAATAATGTTAAGTTTGACAAGCAATTGCTGGGTTTTCATATATAGTTTTCTACATGATGAGTTGCTCCATTACTCAAGCAACCCTGCCTTTCTTCAGTCAAAGCCTCAACTTTCTTTATATTTGGTGCAAAATCATGTTGAAAGATAACTGATTATAATCAGGGTATGAAGTGATCAATAATGGTATAGTGACACTTTAATAGTGAGGTTTACTATTGACCATTCCTCGTATGTAGATGATCCTTCATTTGACCAGATTGCCAATACAAACATCTCTTCAATCATATGGAACCCTAGCAAGTCCCAGTGAAATTGTGTTACTATGAAAATCAGATACTAGTTCACTCAAAGCAATCAATTTTGACGATTTTAGCCTGTCACTATACTGATACATTGATCTTTCCCACCTCATGCAACTCCATAGTTTTCCCTTTACTGCAGGCTTGGAAAGCATGTCTACATGACATGAACCAAGGATGAGTAACTAAACATCAAGATATGCATAATGTCATAAGGTGGATTGGCGTATGGAAAACAATAAATTATAGGATAAAGTATATATGCTCAATGAAGTTTTTACACCTCCAACTGAGCAAGCAGGAAGTAAAACAGTTAGCAACTTAAAAAACAATACATCTCTTATCATCTGAGTGATCGGTATAGAAAGTTCTTTGATAGGTTAATCATTCTTGGAGTTTTATGACCAGAATAATTCCATTGCAACATGTTAGTTCCTGCAAAATTCATACTTGAAAGGAAGTTGTTCTGCTTAATATTGCCAAATGGTTGCCATCATCATCATGAGCTTTCAATGATCCTATATGGTATTGATATTTTAAACATCTGCATTGTTGTGTATGGAGGTGATAGTGCATGAAGTTGATCTACAGTGTCTAAACTGCCATAAGCGAAAGATTAGTGTTCAGACTGATGCAGAAGAGTTCCCTAGTGATCTAATTTAATGTGGAGATATTACTGAATTGTCTAAATGAAAAAAAGAAATATGACAGATGAACTAGTCAAAGACTATGATAGATAATTTAGCCACCTAGAGAATGATGATGGTTGGTAAACTTTGAGCATTAAAGCTCCTTATTGTAAATTCACATATGAAGATGGTTAATTGAATAATTATAAAGGATCATGAACAATTTCCTTCTAATTTTCAAAGGAGTGTGTGAGGGCAGGACTCTTTTAGCACAGTAAGGTCAAAATTACTTTAGAAGCATCTGGTAGGAAGAGCAACGTATTTTATATCATGTTTACTTTATTTCTCTTTTAATGAAAAAACAAGTTTAATTTTTTTTTATTTTAGAGGAAATCATGTTTGCTTTGATATCTACAATGGAATTGCTGTCATTAATTTCATTCCAACTGGATTCTGCCTTTTGCAAAATTTGGGTTGACCAGGAAACTTTCTTAGTTTTAAATTATGTATATTGTGAACAACTTAATGAGCATAAGTGAAGAATAAAATGTAAGAAACTTGTAATCTAACTTCTTTATATTTGGTAGGTTATAAACTTCTTGCTCCGAGGGTGGATTAAGAACCTGGAGTCCCAAGGTTCTGTTTCATTGCCCCTTTTGGAGGAGCCTGATTATGTACAATATGAAATCTTGAAAGAGTTGGAGTATGTCAAAGAAGGATCCCACAAGTCAATTAAAGTACGATTTTTGGGATCGAACTTCTCATTTTGGAATCTGATAATCTCATCCTTGAAGCTACGCCTCGCGAGTTTGCTGGCGAGTTTCAGATAGGCCAGCATTGTATATATAGTCTCGTGTTGTGAATTTTATGATATTATTTATTTGTTGTATAGAAAATTTGAAGCCTGGCTTTACAGCCAAAATTCAGCTTATTAGTTCCTTTCACTGTGAGAGTGTAATATGATGTAGATACGCAAATTTGAGAGTGTAATATGATGTAGATACGAAATTTTTCGATCAAAATTTAGCTAAAGATTTAAGTAGTACAAGAAGAGACTGCGAGGGACAAGAAGCAGAAAGAACGCGCCCGACTAGGGAGTTATGTCATCTCTGCTGTACAAGACTAAATTCCCTCTCAAATTTTCCTTCCCATTAGCATATTATTGTAACTAAGATAATGTTTATTTTATTTATTATTCAAGTTGAGTATCTTCTTTCTACGCTCTCTAGTTTTTCCTTATTTCTTCACGTCAGTGACTATAATAAATAAGAAAAAGGGGTGAATGACCGACCATCTGGGAGAAGGTGATTCATTTAAACGTGAAAAGAAGTAGAAAATAGGAACCAGAATAGGTGAAACATTTTTTTTCCTGTATGTATGTATGTATATATATATACATATACATATATATAAATATATACATATATATATACATACATATACATATATATACATACATATACATATATATATATACATATACATATATATACATACATATATATATATACATACATATATATATATATACATATGTATATATATACATATACATATAAATATGTATATATATACATATACATATAAATATATATATATATATACATATACATATATACATATATACATACATATATACATACGTATATATATATATACATACATATATACATACATA